TGAGCTTACATAATTAAATGAGGTCCATTTTTGAATGCCAGATTAGTAAGGAAAGGGATCTGTTCAGTCCCTTTCTGTCCACGGGCCCTGTTGGCACACAGGGATTCTGTGGAGGGGTGCACCTGCACAGCTCTGAAGAGGCTGGTGATGTCAACAGTTAAACTTTTGCTGGTCCAGGTCATTTGCAAGCCACAGAGGCCCTGCTGTGAGCATCCTGCCCATAGTTCTGTATACAAGTGCTGTGGCTTCAATGTTCATGCATTCCAAAACTTGTGTTGAAATATAGTTGCCGGGGGCTGGGGATTTAGCTGAGCAGCATAAGTGCCTGCCTTGCAAGCAGGCAGTCATGAGTTCGATCCCTGGTACCGATAAAAACGAAAAAGACAAAAAAAAAAAAAAGATATATAGTTGCCATGAGAGCAGTGCCATGACCAGGAACTTTAAGAAATAGGTGTGGATTCTGCCCTCTTCCATGTGATGAGTGATGCTATGAAAAGGCAACTTCAGTTCCTTTGTGTCTTGACCCTTGTGGCTTTCTTCATGAGATGGTGAGGTAAGAAGGCTCTTTTCACACATGGGCACACTGATGTTGACCTCCAAGCCTCCAGACCTGTGGGCCAATGAATTTCCTGTTCACCACAAATTACTCATTCTATGATATTATGTCATAGCAGCACAAAATGGATTAAGACACATTCATATATTCAGCCAATTACTCTTTGAAGCCAACTCTTGGGCCAGGTAAGATGGTCCCACAAGTCAAATCAACCTGCTACCTAAGGATGTTAGGCCACTGTGAACTTCCAGAGTCATCATCATGAGCTTCACATTTCCTTGAAACATTTATTTTGGGGAGCAGCTTGTCCTTCCCTGGTCAACAAGTCTATTAATATCTCAAAAATCTACCCAATTTCAAACTGTGAAAGAAAGAAAGATGATAAAGAAAGAAAGAAAGAAAGAAAGAAAGAAAGAAAGAAAGAAACAACTGAGAAATAAAGAGAGAAAGGAAGAAATACCATGATTCTTTCTGACACAGTTTCCTGAAAGTCACCCAGAAATGGAGGCACAGGTGACTGTGCCACCCACACTTGCCTAGTAGTGCTCTGGGTCCCTCTAGAAAGTAGCATTGCTTCATTACAGGAAAACATAGCAGCCATTCTCTGAAAACATAATGAACATCTTTTACAAGAGGCTTTCTTTCCTGGTTCTTCCTTGAGAAGGTCAGAGAAAAACTCTAGAAATATGCAGAAAACTACCAGCATAGTGACCATTATTATTACCTTTATTTTACAGGGAAATCATTTTGTGTTTTACAGTTAAAAACATGCTTTTGCATTCATCGTGTCATCTAAACCTTACATTCATTAAGCAGAGTGTATTTATTGCTTCCTTTGAGCTCAAATTTATTGATACACCCAATACCACCCAGCTAGAAAGTGGTGGAGGAAAGTTTAGAATTAGTTTGTCTTTGGCAATTCCTAGTTTAACTGTATCTATGGCCATGTTCTTAAAATGTGCCCATGGTTCAGTATCCTGATAATTATTCATTGAGGTGCCTTAGCCTGGGGCCCTTGGGCTTGGCTTCCATGTCAGACAGTCAGCACCTGTGCTTTCTAATCTGAAAGATCACCATCAAATTATAAATGATTATAGATGTATTAATGTATGAAGTGTTAATATTACTCATCTTTGAATGGTAAGAGAAACAGCAAGACTTAAAATTTTCTACTCTTGTCCTTTGACCTGAAATTCCAAATTAAGCTGTTTGAAACAGATTTTTATACCATGCTTTGAAGAGCTGCTCTTCCCCATCTCTGCCCTGTTTCTATTCCTCTACTTCTTTTCTTCTCCATCCTCTTCTTCCGGACTTTCTGCCCATCTCTCTTTTTCACTTCTTTAAATTTCCAATTCTCCTTCTATATGGAACACACAAAGTAGTGCAGATATTTGTGAAAACTCTTGTCTACACAATTTTATAGGAACAGTTAAAGTGATTCTGTGGTTGTCAAATAAACAAAAATGCCCCTAGTTAGGAAAGTGGCTCTCTGCTTCATGGAGAAGAAAAGGCACACCCCAAGGTGTGAATTAAGGCTTGAATATGGAGTGAGAGCATTTCTCTTCCATCTCTGGATGCTTGGCACCTGTTTCATGAGAGAAAGAGGAGGCTTAGATAGTGCAAAAGGGTCATTTCTATCTGACAAGGACACGTACACAAAAATGAGCAGGAAATTGAGCACAATGGTTATGGCAAAGTGGTTTGCTGAGGAAACAGAAAGATCATTTCCCTATGACTGTCAGGAAGAGAAGGCCAGGCTCATGGGAAGGGTGTCCAAATGTGTGTGTCTTGTCTTTGTTGAAGAGAGACTGGCATGTGGGCAACACAGGCAAGTGCTGCCCCCATCGTCTGCATGATCCAAGTCAGTGTCCCATAATTCAGTGCTAAGGGATATTTGCTTTATGTCTTAATTTACAGCAGTGGGAACATGGCACAGAAAATCCACAGGGCATGAGAAATGCTTCTACTTGGGATGTAGTGGTCTTCAGTAACACCACGTGAGCCCTGTGATCTTATCTGCCAGTCTGCTCATGGAGGATTTTCATGTCCCTTAAAAATGTGACTACTGGGCTGGAGATTTAGCTCAGTGGCATACAAGTGTTTGCCTGGCAAGTGTGAGGTCATGGATTGGATCCCCAGTACAAAACAAAACAAAACAAAACAAAACAAAACAAAACAAAACAAAACATCCCTGAAAGACAGAAAGAAATCAGAGAGAGAGAGAGAGAGAGAGAGAGAGAGAGAGAGAGAGAGAGAGAGAAAGAAAGAGAGACCAAAGAAAGAATTCACTATTGGAAATGTTGCTTTCTACATAACATACTCAAAACTTTCTCTCTGAACAGAATCGAAATTTGACCTTGGTACACCTGGGCTGGTTTGTGCTGGGTCATGAGATCTTGATTTATTTTATCTTCTTCATGCCTGCAATTTTCCCAGGAAATCATTGTGGATATGTATATGTTTTCCACAGAAAGCTGCAGTTAGAAGGGGTGCTGTCACTTGCCCCAAAAGGCAAGTGATTGAATTGTCTTGCCGACCGTCCCTCCTGGCAGCAGAGCTCATGCTGCTGTGACCTTCAGAGTATTTATGCCATCCATCCTCTGCCATGCTGTTGATTTAGCTTATAGATCAACCAGGCCGACAATGACACAGAACAGGAAAGGGCTGAGGTAGCAAATGAAAACACACACGCATCTTGCGCAGAGTCATTTCTACGTGAAAGGATCTCAGTCTGAATCCCACAGGTCTCCGTGGAGCTGCTCTCTGCCAGGGAGTTTATTTCTTTTGGGGTGATGTGGCCTTTGCAGCGGGTACACTGTAGCAGCCTTGGAAGCACCCCGGGTTTTTGTGTGCTCTGTGCTTCCTGCTATGAAGCTTCATAGGTCCTGGGCCACAGTGCACTGGGGGTGATAATGGTTCTGCTTCCCTATTTCTAAGAGACTTCTTAAGTTACCCGAGAATGGAACAGAAAACATTTGGATAGTGTTTCCTTGCTATTTGGACTAATTCTTTTTGTGTTGTCACCTCATTTTCCAATCAACATATGGTATTTAATTCTTCTCATTATGCTTAACAAGGTACTAACACTTTCCTAAGAAATTGGTGAACTATATTCAATCACTGGAGACTTCATTTTCTTGCTTATTAAGTAAATACTTGCGAGGATGAACTGACACAGTGCTTTGTCATATAGCAATGTGCTTTGGTTCAGGCTGGTGCAACAAAATGCTGGGAAGTAGATGACTTATAACCAACAGAACTTATTTCTCTTGGTCTGGAAGATCTTCTAAGTCTGAGGTCAAAATGCCAGCACATTTTGGTTCTGGAAAGAGCCTCTTCCAGGTTTGCAGATTGACAGCTTGTCCTGTGTCCTCCAGTGACTGACACAGAAAGGGACTCTGACCTCTTACAAGAATGGTGTTGTTCCCGAGGACTTCATGGTTGCGAACTAATCATTTCCCAGACTTCCCACTTCTACACGCTATCATGTTGGAAGCTCCAGGTTAATGTATGAATTTTGAAGAGACACAGCATTCTATTCATGAGGAGGAACTATCAAGACATCTGCCCCTTACTTGGGAGCCTTAGTTACTTCAACCATACAGAACCCATCTTAGAAATTTGCTATGAGGATTAAGGAAAGTAGCACACTTGGAAAGAACTTTGGAAGGTATAAAATGTCACATAGTTGGACATTATTATGAATAAGTGATTATGATCTTATATAAATGGAATATGATTTATTTTTAGATATTTATATATATTTTTGACCATGCGGTTTATATGTTAAGGTCTTAGAGGGATTCACGTATTTATTCTCACAGTAACCACACTCACTAGATGCAGTAAAATCTTTAGTCCATTGTCTCCCTGAAATTCAACTTAATCTTGAAGTAGCATTTTAATCATTGTGGTTTATTAGAACCTTACAACCTAGAAAAGTTCCTTAAAATCTGATGCATGTGATGATTGGAATTAGGCATTTACCTAAAATTCAACAGTGTTCTTCCTAAGTGAACATCTCTCAGGAGATAGGCTTCATGAATACTAGAAAGTCTTTTCAGGAAAAAGAGCATCACTCTTCTTTAATCCCAGTTCTTCTGCCTTTCTGGCTGGGGAATTATGAAAGGATTCACAAAGCACGATACCTATGAGCGTGTGAAGAAATTAGCAGATACTGAATTCCAACCCAGGGACACTGCCCATTGAGTAAGTGACATTGCCAAGTTCATGTGACATGTAAGATGTTGACCAAGGCTGTCTGGAGATGCAGCCCACCTCTGTGAATGTATCTATGAATCTAAGTCTTTTGGGATCTTGTTCTTCTGTGATTTTAAGCTTTGTAATGCAAATGGAATTGTAATTTTCCTAAACTAGACACGAGGTTGGGCTGGAGGTACAGGACAGTACTGAAATTCATGAACTTCTAATTCTTGCTTTGCAGAGAGCAGCAGCCTGCATTCAGCCAGTGTCCACGAGAGCTCCCTGCACAGCCGGGTCTTCCAGATCCTGTACAGAAATGAAGAAGTGTTCATAAATGATGCTGTGATCTTCAGAGCTCATTTGCTGTTAGACAGCGAAAGGGTAAGTCATGAATCTACCACTGGCCAGGAGGGATTTTGTCCCTCTTGACATTTCCTTCTCCTGGTTAAGCAAATGGGCAGCAAATGAGATGTAATAAATTCTTTACAAAATCTGGCAGATAGAACTTTGGATTTCACAGTGCTCTGCATTTACTTACATGCTCATGTTTTACTCATCCTTTCATTTTTACACTCGCTCATTCCGTGTTGTCCCAAGTGCAAGCAGTTCACACTGACTAACTTCCTGCCTCTTTATCTATTCCTTGCTTTCCTGTCTGTATGTCTATCAGTCAGTGAACCAGCCAGCAGAAATTGGTGAATGTTTATTTTTCACTGGGCTCTGTGTTGGGCCCTTGGGACTGAACTGAGTATCAGCAGCCACTCTGCCCTCCAGGGGTTGATAGTTGAGCCCAGAAACCTATAAATAAACAAGCACCTTGGTGGATAATGTGCAATGTCCTCACCTTCTGTGGGGAGCACCAAGGATACAAAATGGCAAGAAGATGGAGACATGAACTTTGAAGATGACAAAGCTGAGATTCGTCAACCTTTTCACAGGAGAACTGACTTTCAGAGATGCTAAGAATTCATCAGACAGAGAAAGAGGAAGGACATTGCAGGAAAGGAGAACCTCAGAAGTGAGAGCCCAGAGACCTTGCCACCTCCTTCTCTCAGCTGGAAACTTGGTTAAAAATTCCCCATTCATCAAACTAACATATTTCCAGGTGCTATATGGAATTCAAACCATTTCTCTCCTTCCCCCATCCCACCTAGAACCCCTGATGCTACATTCCAGGTGATTGTTTCTTGCTGGAAGTGTGTCTTAGTTTTGAAAAACTTCTCACTCCCATTCCCCAGATGCAGTACCTGTAATTACTTCTGTTAAGCACCTGATACCTTCCTCTTCTCTTGCCCATTAGTCGTTTGTCCATATTTTTATAACTTAAGTAGCAACCAGTTTTCCTGTGTCTAACAGTAAAAGCTGTCATTCACTCTGCACTTATTAATGCATGTATCTAGCTATCCAAGATTTATCAAAGAACTCACTAAGCACATACTATTAGAGAAAAAATGGTGAACAGACTTAGAGTGATGGTCTGCCCTTGTAATCCCAGCAGTCTGAAAGTCTGAGGCAGGAGGATTGCAAGTTCAAGCCCCGACCAGTCAACTTAGCAATTGATCAAGACCCTATCCCAAAATAGAAGGTGGTTATGGATTCAGCTCAGTGAGAAGACTGTGGTTTTATTCCCAGTACAAACAAACAAACAAACAAACAAACAAACAAAACAAGAGAACATCCCTGCATGGAGGGCTACTTTTCAAATGTTAGATCATTGCACCAGGCATCTTGGAACATTCCATCTCAATCCCATCACAATCTTGCTCCCTTAAGTTTAAATCCTTTCCAGTTTAACCTTGTGAGGTCATAACTACTGCTGAGTTTGAACAGGGAGTCTGTCTCAGAGGACATACTGTTTTTTGGGGTTTTTTTTTTGACACTTCAGATTGTTTTCTTCTGTAGGATAATAATTTATTATTTTGTAATCCTTAGGGCACCAAACAGTATTATGTTTAATCATTACATGCAAATTAGTGATGGTTAAAATTAATTGGCTATGTCTGTAAGAACTGTATACTTTGAGTGACTATATTAGCTATTTTCCAATGCATGTACATCTGTTCATGACAACCAAAGCACTACTAATAGCATGATATCCAGAAAATGTGTTCACAAATGCCTGCAGCTATCAATGCGAACAATAGTAATTTATAGAATGGACCTTTATTCACCAAGGGTACCATTCCACATGCTGTAGGGAATTCATAGCACCTTCAGTGAGGCTACAGATGAGTGCATGTGGTAATCACAGAGAAAACTAATCCCAGTTAAAGAGTACAATGAAATGTTTTAATAATATTAGCAAACAGGGGGAATAGAGGTAGGATGGTTATTTTATTTTACACTCTGTATAATCTCACAGAAGATTTAGGGAAGTTAACAAAATACAGAGAACAGTAAAAGGGATACATAGCAAATTGGACAGGTCAGAGTACAGGACAAATTCAGGAAGGAGAGGAAAGCCTGAGGTAAACATGGAAGGAAAAAATGCACAGGCATCTTCTGAACATGGGATAATGGTGGTCTGCGCATGAGAACCGAGCTCCCAGCAGCCAAGTGCAAGAAGACACGCTTTATTACCAAAATGCATAGTGCTCTGAGGAAAGAGAGGAATGGATTAGATCGAAAATGTTCTGTTAGTAAAGTTTCATCTCTGGAGGCTTCAAGAGAGTATTTCTTAAAGGGAATTCCTGGTGTACCATTATTACAGTTCATTGGCAGTAACTGTGCAAATTGCAGATTCTCTTGCCCTTTTAAGACCTAATGATTTACACAGAAGTTTGCTTTGAAGGGTGGTGAGTTGATTCCAAGTTCTGATAAGCAGGTCTGGCTGAGATTTCCACAGGAAGCAAGCAAGTGTTTCTGAGATAGAGGAAAGACCAACAGTGGAAAGCAGTAAGCAGGGAGCAGATTTGGGGAAAATGGATCAGTGCCAGTGGCACAAGAATTGTAACGGATACAAATCTAGAAACAAATGTTGAACACACTCAAGGAGCCACAGAAACCCCAGTGAAGGTGACATGTTTACTTCTAAAGGCTGAAGGCCTTGTGATTTCAGAAGAAAGAGGGCTGAAATTGACAGCGGTACAGATGTGGGAGTCTCTTGGTGTGTAGACAGTTACACGTGTCAGCTAAATGATTATTGCTGAGCATGGTCGCATGGATAAAAGGAGTTGAACCAAAACAAGACAAAACTAAAGGATGAGCTTCATGCCAGTCAAGCATCGCCCACAGAACTTGGTTCAGTGATGTCTAGGGCATAGAAGTCTCTAAATGGGGAAAAGTTGTTGGCACTTGGTTGTCAGGTGTGGGCACAGCTTTGGAGACACCATAGACAGTCTAAAGGTGTTTGGGAGATGCATGGTTTCTACTGCAGATCTATCAGAATCAGGTTGCATCATAACAACCAACATGCTGATCTTAACACTGATAGCTACTGACATTGCCTACACAGGTATTTCATGGCAGGCAGTGTGCCCAGGGCACTCTGTAATTTCTCACTGAGTCATGAAGCAGTATGAGGTGCTTTATTATCCCCGTGTTGTGGATGAGAATACAGAAATTTAGCACTCAGTTTTTTATCCTAAAGTCAAGCCATCTGGAAGTGGTAGTGCGGGGGCACTACCTGAAACACTGGTGGAGTCACACAAAGGTTCAGTTTCACCACAGAAACTGTGGTGAGGAGTGTGGCACCCTGCTGCATTGACTGAATTTCCATAGGTCCTGTATGTGCTGAGGCCCACTGGGAAACTGGAAAAGTGGAAATTTTCCACTTTTCACATAATTGCAATCCTGGGGAACAAACATCATTATTTTCCTCCTACTTTACAAATAAGAAATAACAGAAATGTTGAGTCAGCAGTACAACCAGGACTTGTACCACGGAGATTGGTTTTAGATGTGGCCTTCTTAATCATCAGGCCGCTATGGAGCCCAGGAAGAAAATGAAGGAAGAGGAGGAGGACATACGAGTCATGATTATGAATAGAGTTGCAGCCAAACAGAAAGAAAATGCACCTGCACCATACGTTTGACTATAAGGCCAGATCAAATAAACAGAGGTCTTGACTTGACAGAATCCGGAATGCAGCATTCATTTCCTGTAAACTTGCGGAAGCGACTTTATCCTACTGAGTCTCCATTTCCTTGCTTGAGGAGAGCATGGGTTCTGGCAAACGTATCAAACAACAGGACAAAATGTGACAACGTTATAAAAACCCAGGGGACATACACAGAACACAGGATCTAGGATGATGGTAGCTCCTGAGCACTATACATGAAATAATCAGAAAAGCACTGTTTTTAATTTTTTATTCACGTCTGGTGGAAGGCAAAAATGTCTTGCTACAGGAAAACTTAACTCTGCTTTTGAGTTTTTGATAAGACAGTGACCCCATTGCTTTATATATGTGATGGGAGAGTCCAGGAATTCCAGATAGAAAGAGCACTTTCCCATATTCTCACCGCTGCTGTGCCTGTTCACCAGCCCACTCTCACTCTGCAGAGCATACTTATTTTCTACTTCAATAAAGGCACAACACCACTACCTTTTCTGAGTGTCCCATACGGTTCTTTGTTCAGGAAACCAAGAACATGGGAAGTATTTCCCCAGGTCCCACCATCAGGCAATAAAGGGGAGACAATAATATCTCTTCATTCGTAGTGTTACCCATATCAAATAGGATAGTGTATGTACAATGCTAGCCCATGGCCAGCCACACAGAAATTTTCATAAATATTAGCTTCATGTATTATTTGGCCTATTTGGTAGAACATATTGTGCTCCTGGTGGTGAGAACACAACCTTTGACAGGAGATGTTGCCCTTAGGTGAGATACAACATGGCCCTGGAAAGGCATAATATGTGTCCACGCGAGACTACGTGTGTATGCCCATGCTTGGAAGGTTGTTAAGGATAGGTTAGTAAGACCCAGTCATGAAATGAATGGTTATAAAAGACTTCGCTCTGGATCATCTTGCTGGTAAGCTTTCCTGAAACACTGGTGGAGTCACACAAAGGTTCAGTCTCACCACAGAATTTCTAGGGGATTTCAAACTGGAGCTTAGAGTGAATTCTCATTACCCAAGCAAATGTATGCTTGGGAGATGGAGGAGAGGGTTTACTTTGCCAGTCTTACTTCCAAGAAATTGGTCACAAGAGGGTGTGTTGCTTTCATTATGTGTATGAAGTGAGGTTCCTGATTATGCAAAACAAATCTAGGAGAGGTGGTTATTTATAGCACTTGGATTCAGCAAAATGTTAGCTTTTTAAATACTTTTTTTAAGCAACAAAATTTAAACCTTAAGGTCCTAAAGATAAATTCCACCCATATGTCTCTGCTTGAATTAGCTTAACCAAGAAGATGTTTCCAATGAGGCCTTTGAATAAGAAATTTCCGTCTCTGCAGAATGAGCACACTTCTTGCAAAGCAACCAGAACCCAAAAAGATAGGAAGGGGAGGAGCTTCACTCCTAAAATGTACTGGTACTTTCTATGCAGCAGGCTGTATTCCAAGAGCTTAGAATCAAAAATGAATGAAGATAGGTTTCCTCCTTAATGCTATGCAGATGAGTGGCAGCATTTAGAAAGAAAATAGCCAGGGGACCTAAGCTATAGGCCAGATGGGTACTGTTAGTGTATGTGGTGCAGTCAGGGCAAATGTAATAAGACTCACTTGTTAGCTCTAAACAGAGCGGCCACATGCCAGTTCTGCATTGTCAAACCCAGGGATATTATTTCCAGAAGCTAGAGACCTGGAATACAAATGCTTCTTAAACTGCCTGAATTTTAAGTGTTTATAACTTGTTCAAAACCTTTTTTTAAAGTACCATGGGGAACAAACAAAACAGGTCTGCAGATTGCACTTGGCTCTCAGGTTTCTAGCTTACAATCTCAAAGCAGTTATAGCAGGAAGCATTAAACGCTAAGAGAGAAAGGAAGCAAGAGTGTTGTGTGCTACAGGGAAAGGTTCTACCCAGTCCAGGTGGGGGCAAGGGTAAAGTCCTGTCACACAGGGGAAATAGTGACACTGGGTGGGACACTGAGCAGATGTAGTGGGGAATCTGACACCTCCCTTGAGTCTTGGTGGTGGTATTAAATTCAAGGAAACAATCACCGGGGATACCATTTTTCGAGTACAAATGAGAAGTACAAAAAATCTTTTTAAAGCTAAAGATGAAAGGGCCACGGGTGGAACATGAGATACTAAAGAGGAAAGTCTTCCAGTATAAATGAGTAAGTGGTCATTAGAGTCTCAAGACAAAACCTTGGGAAATGACTTCACTCTGTCCTCTGCACTAAATGGGAAATGGTAGCCAGTGGAGAGTCAGAGATGGCTTTGCCTCTGACCTTACCCTGAGACTGGACAGTGGAGATTTCACTGCAGGTTCTGCTTTTCCAAAGCAGGTGCTCTGGATGCTTCCTTCTTTCTGAAATGATTCTAGGTTAAAAACACTGGCAACAATTCTATAAGCAGTAAGACAACTTAATGACATTGGAAGGGTCTTGAGACTATACCACCAAATGAAATAAGTTGGGTGCAAAATATTAAATAATATATGGGTTCTCTTTGCATGAAAAAGCTAAAAAAATAACGAACAAAAGAAAGGTGAGCTTGCAGGAAACAAGAGGGTGTTCTTTCTGGAGATAGGAAAGGATCTGGGGAAAGAGGAAGAGGGGAAGGTGAGGAAGAAGGAATGCAAAAGTGATCAAGATGTAGTAGGTACATTTCCTAAAGCAAATGTACTTGTCATGTGCCACAAACATGCTAATAAATCTTCTTTTAAAAAAATGAAAGGAACCATCCCAAACTGCTATGTGAAAACTTTCCTTGCATTTTCTGGGTAACACTCCCAGATAATCTGTCCACCCAGAACTCCATAGAACAGATATGGCATTCTGTGTTAAGACTAAACAGTAATAATTGTGCGGTGAGATTCTGCTTTTCCTTTGGGATGTCGATCAGCTAATTCACGTGGACAAGTGTTGACTCCTGAAATTCTTGGATTTTGTTTCTCTTGCAGGTGGAAGATGCTCTGAGTGAAGTTGACTTTCAACTCAAGGTGGACCTGCACTTTACAGACAGTGAGCAACAGTGAGTGTCACTGGGACCCTTGGATTGTGGTGGCAGGAAGCCTTCTTTGTTGCTGGCTCATTGCTAGGTGACCTTGTGGCTGCAATCCTTGGAGCATCTCTCCGACATCCAGTTCCTCACAAGCTGCTGTGTGCTGCCTCAGGTTGAAATGGAGTTAACATGACTGCTTGTGTGTCCCAGTGGAATGCTCACATCCAATCAAACATGATTCCCTGCCCCTGTGTACCTGAGAATGTTGAATGGCTTTTCAAACTGTGTACATCTTTGGCAGGCATCTCAAGCTCCATATACACATACACAGAAAACTCCGACCTTCTTGGCCTTCAGAACTCATACTTGCTAGATTTTCTATCACTGTAGTGCAGTCGTATTTGGCAGTTTGAGAATAGTGACCCCATGAGACCACAAAATTCAAAGCCCCTTCTGAATCATGGAGTTCTATCATGGTTCTGCATACTTTTACTGAATATCAGCTACTGTGTTTCAACTCCCTGCACTTTTAAAATCCATTTACGGAGATAACCTGCTGATCACATATGTGGGAGGCAAGTCTCATCTTTCTCATAACTGCTTCCTTTAAATTGTTTGTGGCCTCTTCCTCCACCCCCAGGGCGATCATTTGTGTCACTTAGACTCTCTCAATTCTTTCCAGTGATAAATTATCCTTTCGTAGGTATTAAAATGCCCAGCAAAGTGTAATATCCAAGCTCTAAATTTGCATCTAATTTATAGTTTATTTTACTGCTTCCTTTCTCTATGGCACCCCAGAGTTAGGTTTAGGGTGAGAAACTTCCACAGCAGAAAAAGGTGCAATAGGTAGAGGGAGAATTGGACTTCTTCCCCCACCTCCTCTTTCACTGTGGCTGACAAGTCTGGAAGAGTAAAGGGATGCACAAGGAGGAGGAAGACAGAAGAAGCGGCAGGGGAAAGGATCATATTTGATTGGTTGTAAACGGCCCTTACTTTGCCAGAGGCTGAATGACCCTGGGGGTATTCTTGTAGGTTCCTTGGAGAAATATCCATGAGACAACACTCGACCCCAGACCTAATCCCACCTTTGGAGTTCTCCGAAATACTGAAGCCTCTTATGCATAGGAGGCTTATGTCTTGCAGGAAAATCTTTGAGTCAGACTCTTCTCCAGGAACCCATACCTGCCTGTGGGATGTGCATAAGTCACTTTAATCCCTTCCCATGTTCATGGGAACCTGTGCTCTCACGGCTACTCCAACTTCGCCAAGTTTCTCTCCTAGTCATGGTGTAGGGAGAGTCAGGGCAGGACCTCTGCTTTCATAGCTCTAGGGGGCCTAATGCAAATTCTCTAGAGGGCCTCTTCTCTGATTTAAAAGAAGAAAGGTAAAATTTCTTCCACCTATATTCTATTTGTAAAGTACTAGCATGCACTGACCACTCTGGCCACCTGTCTGATCTCTGCAACTACTTCATCAAGTGTTTGGCAGTCAGGAGGCCAGTGGGCTGATGCTGGTATAGTGGACCCTATCTCTTCAAAGTTCAGAGGAGATCTGACCTGATGATGCCGCAGAGCCAAACATCTGCCCCCAGCATGTGCCACAGATTAGTTTCATCTTTAAACATCATTTATGAAAATGAAGAAAGGAGGGCATTTCTAATCTTCCCAGCCTCTGGCTTCCTGTTCCTCTTAGCTAATTTTGTGGATTTCTCCCCTTCCCAAAGCCTGATCCCTCTCTATTGCTTTGGCTGTTTGGACAACATGGGGAGTTGAGTCAGAGTGGATCTGAACCCAAGCAGTCCCTCCCCTGGGATGTCACAGACCTCAAGATGTTTGGCACTGAGAATGGATGTGTACGGCTGTGCAGCTGGCAGGCCGGACTCTAGGCTTCGGGGAGTATCTGTCCTTGTCCCTGACACAGTGTCCGAGCTCGGCATCCCCCTTGTCTTCAGCACGTTTGCTAGGATGCCTGGTACTCCCATCACACATGCTTTCCCCACAGCTGAGTGGATGCTTTGGAGATCTTATCTATAGGGTTTCCTGGAGTCACACATCTGTAGTCTCAGGCTTTAAGGAGACTGAAGCTGAGGGATCACAAGTTTGAGTCCATCCTGGGCAACTCAGCAAGACCCTGTCACAAAAAATAATTTTTTTAAGGATTAGGGAAAAAATAGATCAGTACCAAAGCCCTACCTTCAACCCTTAGCACTGAAGAAAAAAATTTGATCTTTATTCTCAGAATCAAAGCCCCTGATTCCACTGTTCTGTTTCCCTCCACCATCCAGGGTTCCTCTTATGTAACCTCCTCATTCCCTGTGTCCTTAGACTGATGTCTTTGGGAGACATCCATCAACAACTCCCGGGTGGACATTTGCAGTTAGCCACAGAGTCCTGCTATAGATGTCAATTTTAGTCTGTAAATTACTCACTATCAATCCTGCAAGAAGTTTCAGCGCTAAGCTGTAGTGGACACAGTAAATTAGATATTCTTGCCACCAACAGCATAGTAAATGGTAAGCCTGGGTACAGGAAATTGGTCCAAATTATAAAAAATGAAGCAACTGCTCCCTGAAATAGAGGCTAAACTTCTGTGTTTTTCCTAGTCTCTAGCCTTGTTTATAATATGATCATCAGTATTAGGTCTGTTATGAAGATTAGCAGAGACAATATATATAACAGGCCAAGAGCACAGCTGGTGGAATAAATGGCTTCTTCCTTTTTATGGCTTCCTCTGTGTAAGTCAGGCCAGGCTTGAACTCGTAATACAAAGCACTTAATAACAATCAGTGCACAGGGCTCTCACGAAACACAGGATTTGCTGAGAGGAACAGGAAGCCAGGGGCTGGGAAGATTGGAAATGCCATCTTCCTTCATTTTCATAAATTGGATTTAAGGATGATAAGACATCTGTGGTACATCCTGGGGCAGACATTTGGCTCCAAAGTATCACTAGCTCAGCAGCTTCTAGAAAGCAAACAAATAAGGAATAGAAGCAGGGCCTCTAATGCCAGGGTTGGCTGGGTGGTTGATGTACAGCTCATGACTCTCAAGTCTGGTGGGAAGATGCCACTTCCTGGGGACACTGAGCCATAACCAGAGACATGGGCAGTGATGTCTGGATGTAGAATGTTATTGTTATTTTGTAGGGGGAGGCCAGAGATGCTGCTGAGATTTTTAAAATGTATGGACACCCGTGGTCCCCACACAGCAGAATTCAGTCTCTGAGACCAGTATCACCAAGGTCAAACAGTCCTGCTGTAGTCTGCCTCACATCTGTACGTGCAGCTCTTCAAGGTGTCCTTGGCACTTGTTTGCATGGGTTGAGAAAGTTTCTTGCTTCCCACCTCATCCTTTTCTGTCTGAGCAGCTCAGCTAGCAGGGAACTCTCTCCCAAGGACAATCCCTTCTTGTGTGCCTTTCCTTGATTGACTTCAGTTTTATTCCTTGCTAAGGCAGCAGGATCAGTGTGGAAGGTCTTTCAGAGGAGGAAAGGTTAAATACAGGGTCCTCTGCCTAAGAGCATGATGCTTTATTATTGTTTACCTCTTGTTTACTGTAAAGCCAACATACTCCTCTCCATGCTATTATTTGTCCCCAGATCTTCTAACTTGAGACCACTCCTACCTTCCAGGCACACAGCTTGACATCCAGGAACAGAAAGGACCTATATCCATTTCAGAGGCCAGGAGGTCTTTCACTTCCCTGCTTCCTAATTCTTACTCTACTTCTGCTGATGTGGGTTAAATTCCTGTTAACCTACTTCACATCTTTGCTCTCCTGAGTTATGTTTTGTGGCCAGTTCCTCATGCCTGTAGTATTTTTCTGTGTCTCACAGAACCTGTATTTGAAGGGATGCAAAGCAATATTGAACAGTAATCAGAACATGTTATAGAGACACAATAACCTCCTCGCCCAGCACTTCAACGTGGTCTTGTGACTTGGAACAAGCTTTAGTGAACTCATGTTGGCTTTATTTCTTCTTCTGTAAGTTGAGTGATGTCGGGATATACCTCACTTGGTGTCCAGCAGAATAATGAGGAAAAGCAGTGTGGTCAGTTCATAGTGAAGCCTTAGGGAGCTGTCCTCAAGTTTAAAGTGAGCATAAATGGTAGCGGCTTTCTGAGACTCATGTCATAGTAACCTCATTCCCTCCTCATCTTGCTGATGGAAAAGGAGGCTTTCTGCTCTGTGTATTGGTGTTTGTGCTGGTCTGTGGCTTCAGTGGCTCTCACTGGTCTTCTGTTTGTGTGTAATGCCAAAGACCCCGCAGATGCACAGCCTCTGGTTCCCTTCATCTACCAACACTGCTCCCAGGCTTCTGCCCATGGAGCAAGGGAAACTTTCTCTCTTCACTGTACTCCTGGAGCACATTCCTCCTGGTTTCCCATATGCTCTTGTTTAGCACAGTTTGCAGTGCCTGTGGTTCATTTTTCCAGCTGTAGAGTAATGCTGGTTCTCTTGAATGCCAACATAATAGCTTTGATTTGGGGGGAGAGTCAATCCCCTGCTATAATCCAAAGAGCCTGCAAGCCTTTCCTGCTAACTGGTTATTCCTTAGGATGAGACACATCTGTTGCCAAGTACAGAAGCAAAGGTGGGGTGCTTTATGGAACTAGCCCACCTGTTCCAACACAGTGCTGTGGGAGTCGTTCATGCTCTTGGTCACTCTGTCAATCAGGTGTACATTTTAATAGGCACATGTTTAACCAATTTCTCAGGATGCCAAATGGTAGGTTGGTATTGGGGATACAGAGCTGAGTTAACTGTAGCTCCTGTCATTAAGGTGGCAGAAAGCACAGGCTTATGAAGCTGACTAGAGCATGAGGACAGGAAAAGAGAACTGGGAAAGAGGGCCAGGAGAGGGACAGCATTGAGAGGGGTCTTGGAAACTGAACACCTTAATCCCCACTGATGTGTGGGTTTGGTTTGATAGCAGAGATCTGCTGCATAGTCCTGGTGTCTGCGTTTGACAGTCACCAGAAAAATGATTGTTGCCAGGCAGGGTATTTGCATGACTGAATTAGGCAATATATGCACAGTGGTTTGCCTGGAGGAAGGCTGAAATGTGGATCTGTTGGAATGGCAGCGGGGATAATCCACTGTCACTCACATGAGGTCACTGTCTTGCCTTTCAGGCTGAGGGATGTGACTGGGGCACCAATGATCAGCAGTCGCACTTTGGGTCTGCACTTCCACCCCCGGAGGGGGCTACACCACCAGGTCCCTGTCATGTTTGACTACTTCCACCTGTCAGTGATCTCGGTGACCATCCATGCTGCCCTGGTGGCTCTGCAGCAACCCCTAATCAGGTATGAAGTTATGTGCAGATCTTATGTGCGGCGTGGTTGAGAGGACCACACTTATTGAAGCCCAGAGAAGCTTTTCCCAGGTTGTAGGCATAAACATGGGCTTCGCTGAGAGAACCAGAAACAGGTGGGTGAGGTGTGAAGAAAATATCAGGAATCCAGGAGAGATGAGGGGTTGAAATTCTGTGACTCATACTCGGAAGATGTTAACTTTTCCTTGGGCTCAATATTTATTTTTACAGCTGTGCCTCAGTTAAAAAGTCACCCGATAATCTAAACTACATAATATCCATCTCTAAACAGATATACTAATGTGTCCCATCTAAATGAAATTTGAATGGGGCCCAGATGATGACAGAACCAGGCTTATGACAAGGGTTTCATTTTGTCTCTTCTTCCATAAATGATTTAAATATAGAAGGCCCGTCTTTAAATATAGAAGGGATTTTACTTTCCCCTTTACTAATTTGCCCTACAAAATTTCTGAGACCCCATGGAACAGTGACTCTGAATTCTGTAAGAAGGGGAACAGCACTTACAGTAGCTATCATAGTGTGCTGTACACAGCCATTTATGATGCTCCCAAGATGGCTAATCAGTAGGCTTAGAACATTTCAAAACATCACTCACACATGTGTGTAAGTGGCACACATGCAAAGGAATATTTAGGGGTAGAATTTTGACAAACAGATGTAATAAAGGAAAAATTTTCAATTTCACTTTACTAGACAGCTTTCTCTGTGCTGAGAGTTTAAATGGAAGACACCAGGCTCTCCTAGTGCATATATGAAAACTCTGTGCGTTGTGGTAGTCTATGAGGAAGAAATCAGATAGCAGGCTGCATCATGAGACGTGACAGGGAGCCATTGTCTCTGAAGTTGTTCTGTCCGTATGCTCCAGTCCATCTTGAGTGCTTCTCCCTAACTGGATTATTTCCAACATGGATAGACCTAGACCAGAAGAGTGTGTGAATTACCCATAGTAGCGACAGTACCACATGTTGCTAGGAAAGGAGACTAGATTGGGCTAACTGACAAGGCAAGATAAATCCTCACAGGGAAAGAATGGGCCATGCATGTGAAAGCTGGTAGTCACATTGGTTTTTGGAAGAGGAAATTATGCATGGGAGTGAAAATAAATCCACGTGGCAGGAAGTGAGAGCACAGAGAGCTAAACAGGGCTAGAGCTATGGGTCCGGTCAAACAGTACATGGCCTTTAGGGCTTTGTTGAGATATTTGTACATTTTCCTGCCCAAAACTCTGATGCAAACTGATCTCCAAAGGTAAAGGAGATGATTGGATTGGGGAGTCCACAGGACCTTTTATTGTGGGTCCATTATGTAAGTGTTTGCTGGAGGTCTGCTGTGCTCTGGGGAAGGTGGCAGGACTCTGCAGCACGTCCTGTGATGAAACACCTTGGATTCACTTTTATTCAATGTCTGGGTCCCATCTGACTGTGTGGAGTTACTGTATGGCAGGTGTAGTTGTTGCCTATTTTGACAAAAGTCATTATAATAGCCATCACATGTAGCAATACACAAAGGCATATCTGACCTTGACAAGTAGCAGGAGAGACAGAGTTCAGACAGCAGCAGAACATCATTCTTCAGAAAAGCACGGTCCCTAGGCATTATCTCTCTGGGACTTGGCAGATAGTGCTTCACTGTAGAATGCAGTGTAGGATCTGTCTGGTGCCAATAAAGAACAGTTACGGAGGCCAGGCCAGTGCAGAGGTGTGTCCTGAGATCAGCTGCTGAGGAGAGGTGGAGCCTGGGGTAGGAGTGGGTTGTTTATCTTCAGTTACAGTCAGAGTTATCATTCTGTCTAACCTTATGACCTATTTTCTGGGGATCTAAACAACATACATAAAAACCCCAAATAAATGAGAAGAATTTTTTTTTTTTTTCCAAAATCAGAAGTGGTGGTAAACCCAAAGGGTTGATTAGTGAATTCAGGGAAATGAGGTGGTGTATGTCAAATGTGGCAGAAGTGTGCTTGATTCAAGGTGGGTGTCACTGACCTTGAGATACTGGCAGAAAAGTCATACGTGGAAGCTCTGAGGTGAATCAATCAGACCCTGATGTTAGAAGGCTCACAGCCTCCACAAAATGACCATAAATGGTGAGCTTCGATTCAGACTGACCCTGTTAAGCAGAGGGATTTCTGAGTATCTAAGGAGCTCAGGGAAAGCCGGGTTAAAGGCATGGGTCTTAAGATCAGATGGACTCACGTGGAAGTTCTGAGCACTGGCTATTAACTCACTTCTCTTGAGCCCTGGGGCTTTAGTTTCACAAAAGATCCCAAGAGAAGTACAAAGAGGTTGTTAAACAGGTTTAACAAGGTACAGCATATAAAAACCTTGGCCATGAGTTCAGCAGACTAGTTTTATTTAGCATCTGCCATATTACAGGCCCTGATCTAGGTCACCTGACTGGCACTAATAAGCACTTAATAAATGGCTGATAACTTTTGGCATGGGCAAAGCAGTTCAACTTTGGATTTGAAAGGAAGCCTTTGCAGAAGAAATGGCTCTTATGCTCTGCCCACGCCATGAAACTCTGACAGTGAAAAATGAGCTCGGGAGAGTAGCAGGTAGGTTTTAACAGTGTAATTAATGGCACATTAAGGAATTGAAAATCCATTTGTTGTGTAAGAAGGAGGCATTGAAGGTTTGAGCAGAGAATAACCTGGTAAGACCTGGGTCCTAGGCAGATGGGTGGGTTGGGCTGGAGGTAACTTTAGGACAGAGGCAGGAGGACAGAGCGGGGATGAGTCAAGAGGCAAGAAGTTCTCCCACCACCTGCAGCAGCAGGCGCCAGCAGGTCTCACGCTTTTTGCTATAATATTAATGATAAAGATGTGGGGAATCTTAGCAGAAAAGGTAACCTCCTACAGAAACAGTGCTTTGCAAGTCAGTCTACAGCCCTAAGGCAGGAGAGGGGTGCAGATATAGTCAGTGAAGACTGAAACTGCTCTGGGAGGGGGTAAAAATAGAACACTCTCTGGATTTGCAGGATGAATTTCTATCTTGGCTCACAGCAGCTAAGAACAAAGGGAACTCTTTCAGGTTGTGGGAAATACCTGTCAAATAGGGCAAGCACTGGCTTTGCAAGGAGTTTTTCACAGCCTTAGTTAGATCCAATGAGTATGAAGCAGGTATGAAATTAAAAGTTACCTCAAAAGACACAGCCTTCCCAGAAAGAGACCAACGAAAAGAATCCAGGTTTTGCCTTCCAACTGGCTTTCTCTTGAGGGAATCCCATCCACTGAAAAAGTTCATCAGGAGCCACAGTTAAGTATGTAACAGTTTCTTTTAGTTATTGGTACACAGCCTGTCCTCTGAATCTGCAGGGGCCATCTGTATGTGCCTAGCCATTTTACTCTTCTTCAATGTTCCTCCTGTTCATATAGCTCCTATTTCTACTCTCAATTCCCAAAAAGTCAGAAAAATCCTACTGTATTATATTATATTATATTATATTAATTATATTATAGTGTCATCCCTCAGTATGGGGCAAAGACTTAGTTTCAGGATCCCTAAACATACCAAAACCCACAGATACACAGGGCACTGACATCAAAGAGTACACATTGGCCTATAATCTGTGCATATTCTCCTGATGCTTTAAATCCTCTCCATGTCACTTGTCATAGTCAGTACAATGTGAATGCCATGTAAATAGCTGCTATGCTTCAGTATAAATGGCTTTTCTTCCAAATACTTTCGATCCATGCTTGGTTAAGCATGTGGAACCCAAGGTGATGGAGGGCCACCTACAACTGAGGTTTTATCAACCCTAGCTGTGTGTGTAATAATGACTTTTTACATTTGTTGTATTTCCAACAATAGTTACTGGCCTTTACTTAGTCATCACTATTTTCCAGACACTAATAGCTTCCCTTTGGCTAATCTCAGAATCCTCACAATGACTCCATGGCTGGAGTTCCCTATCACTCTCTGACATATGGATAGGCAGAAGCATTGGGAAGTTATAAACACTGCCATGTCACAGCAGAAAGGTGATGCTGGGACTGGAACTCTGGCAGACTGGTTCTAATGGCTGACTGCTCACTGCTCATGGTTTCTTACCTGATACCACCTTTCACCATGTGTCTTTTACACAAAGCTTGTTGCACACCCCACACTTCTCTGTTCACCAGCCTCAGTTTACCTCCATTGCACTCTGCCTAGTGGCTTGTCTTCTTCCTTCTCTTTATCAAAGTGTCTTTAAGGTGGTGGCCACACAACTTCATCCATCCAACACCTAACATGATACCTGTCATGTGATGTGAACCTAATATTTGAGAAAACAAATTAAATAGAAATATAATATTAACTGTATTCTCCTGTCAATATTTTAAGTAGGGGCATGGGTCTCTTGGATGAAATTTATCTTCAGTGAGCATCGGTGGTAAAGATGATGCCAACTTGAGGCTACTGATTATCCAGACATTGTGCAAGCAAAGATTTTAAATCCTATCAGGGGGACTATAACACAAATATCAAATAGAATTCATAATGTGAAGATCTACATGAAACAAGGGACCATAAATAATCAGTACAAGACAGTTGAAAGGAAAAATAAATGTAATCAGTCTCTCTTGATAGGTTAATTAAAGAAAATAAAAAGGGTTAAGGTAGAAGAGATGACCATAGGCCCAAATAAGATAAAATCAAATGACCACATCAGCTCTCCTAATCTTCCTTCAATACAAAATCAATGGTTGTTATTTCACTGTGTCTGCAGATCTTTACAGTGAATCACAGAGCAGGACAGGGTCTCTATTTTTGTCTGTTAAACAAGTGACAGTATTCCTGAGTAGCATGAATATTGTGAACACTTTATTATTATAGAAGTTTGGAACGTTTTCCTAGGCTGCTGCATGGATTGTGGAGTAGACATTATTTTAAGTTCTCACATAGGAAGACCCAGCTGGTTCAGGGAAGGATATAGTGAGAGGAGCTCCCCACAGGGGAGGAGTAGAAGCAGGAATTACCTAGGCTGTGATCAAGCTTCTCTTCTGCTGCTCATCCACCTCACCTCCCTCTCTAGATGATGCAGCCCTAGAACACTACCTCAGTTATTTCTCGCTGACTGGTAATAGTTACAGTGATGTGTATCACTCCATGACATTAAAGTGCACATGGACTTTGGACCCCATCCACATAAAAGTATCAAAATATCCTGTGCAAATGCCAGCTAGAACAGGGATGGAAAACCTTTAACAGAATGCATGCCCAAACTGCAACCCCAAACCCACTTAATTATCACAAAGTGCCAACTCTGAAATCCAACCAGAATACTGAGGTTTTAGTTGAGAGAGAACAACTATTATCTGCTGCTTGCCATCTGGGCCAGTTTGGCTTGCTTGGCAACAGAGAGGGCTCTGAGTGCTAGCTACACCATGCATGCCATTTGGGATGGATTCCTTCTTCTAAATGACCACTGCCCTAGGGGATGGATTCCTCCTTCCAAATGACCCATGCTGTGGGCTGTCCAGTAATGCCCTGCTAAGCTAATGGTGCCATTGCATGTATACAATCCTTTTTTTTCCCTTTTCATTTCTCTCCCTTTTAGTTTTACTCGCCCGGGAAGAGGATCTTGGCTTGGCAAAGGAGGCCCAGATGCGGGACAAGAACAGTCAATTATCTCCCTGGAAAACTTGGTCTTTGGAGCTGGATACTGCAAGCCAACTTCCTCAGAGGTACTGTCTGCAAATTCCCCTTAGAAGTTCTTTCCTGAAACTTCCCCTCACCAGCTATCCCTCCTTCTTCATATAGTAACATTTACAGCCTGCATTCCTAATGCCAAGCCCTGAGGTGGATTTAAGGCACATGGTCCTTGCCTGGTGCCTCCTCAATGTGGTCCACTTGGATAAAGTGGTCCTTTGGAGGGCAGGAATCTGTGTGCTCACGGGGTTCTCTCAGACTGTGCAGTCACACTGATAGGTTGGCGATGAGCCATGCCTGTTTTTTTCATAGAGAATTTCAGGAGTTAATATTTGCCAAAATATTATAGAAGCAGACTTAGCAGGTGCATCATGAAATCTAGTATTTTATTTTATTTTATTTTATTTTGTTTTGTTTTCCCATTTCTTTTCTAGCTGTTTCTGGGGGTGTGTGGCAAAGCAGACATCACTGTCTCTTAGAAAAGTCAGATAGAATGGCTTATTTGTGGGTGCTTGGCATTGAACTTGCTTGTGGTACTTAGCTCAGTGGGTTATTTCCAGGACTTGATTCCTTTCCTGTGCTTTGTTCCATTTGGGTACCTTCCAATTATGTGGATTCAGTGCTGTGCACCGACCTTGTGCCTTCCCACCAGGCAAGGCAGCCAAGCAAAGAATAAAATCCACCCCTGTCTTCTCCTGGGAGCTATGCATGCAAATCCCTGAGAAGCCCACAGCATTAGCAAACAGTGCTGGAATCCACAGACAGCCTTGACAGAGGATTAGGGAACAGGTGTCCCTCCTGAATAATCATTTGCTGGCAGAAGCATTTGCAGAGCAAGAGCCTCACAGCAAAATGAGCTAGCTGATTGGCACAAAAAGTCACAAGGCGGGAAGTGTGACACCATGTGCTGCATCCTTTCTCATCAGCCCAGTCTCCTGCATCCTGTGCCCCTGTGTTTTCTCACTGTATCTGGGACTGTTATGGGCAGAGTGGCCCTTCCAAGTCCAACCAGCAGCTTCACACAAGAGGGCTCCTGTATCCTTTAACGTGTGGTGTATCTGTCAGAGGGCACCAGTGCCAGCCTTGTGGATGGCTAAAGATCAAATGAAACAACTACAGAAGGGCCTTGAGCATTGAGCCTGGCACAAAAATGTCTAGGAAAACTCTCCTCTGGTGTAGTTTTCTTTTTATTTATCCAAATAATTAAATGGTTACAACACTCCAGTGTGGTCTGACGGATAGGGCACCATGGATAGAAGTCTTTAATGTGGTTTTGGTACTAATATACTGTGTGATCTTAAGCCAACTACTACTCTGTCTGGTTCTCTTTTCCAAGACAGGGAAAGAAAATTGAATGAAACCTTCCAGGAAGTTTGCGTGACCTTTTTCTTTACTACTTTTATGACAATAAACTTGCATCTGCCAGGTACCTCTGGGGCATTTGACTTATAAACAATACAATGGTTCAGCTTCCCAGTAAAAGAGAACCAGTAACAATATGTATACCTCCGTAAGTGTGTGTTTGTCTGTGTGTAAAATGTTCAGTAACCGCTGAAGTTTCAATGCAGGAAATGTGATATTGTGTATCTCCACTCCCTTAGGGGTATGGAACAGATAGAAACGGATAACTATCTTAAAGGTTTGCCTCATGCAGTTGTAGAGGCTGGCAAGTCCACAACCTTGACGGTTGGTTGGTGGGCTGGAGTTTTAAAGACAACTTGCAATCATATCCGAAGTCAGTCTGCTGCAGAGTTTCTTCTTCAAGGTGAATCTATGTTTTCTACTAAGGCCTTCAACTAATTGAATGAGGCCAACTTATATTATCTGCTTTATTCTATGTCTACTTATTTCAGTATTAATCTCTTCTAAAACATACGTTTGCAGAAACAATTGACCAAATAGCTGGGTACCATGGCTCCTCTGCCCAAGTTGGTGCATAACATAACTGTCTAAACAAGTCAATCCTTAGGGTTTGATAAGCTATCACTGAGGACTAAGAAGCTGAAGCTTTAGTGTCAAGAGAATCCCATCTTTCCAGACCAGGAGTATTGCCTATCCCTGAAATAAACTGGGTTGTCTCAATGCCCAGAAGAGGATGGACTACCTGGACAGCTGGAAGGGGACATCCCTGTATTCCGGCCATGCCTCAGTACACTCGCCCACTGGTTTGACTCCAGTCAGTCATTGATTATCCCCTTCTGTATGCTGGTGTCTGTGTCCTCCAGGGGCTATGAGGAGGAGCAAAATTCCCTAACTGCTCCTAAGAGGAATTGGTATGTGAAATGAAGAAATTACTTAAAATAGTAAACCTCACACAGTTGGAGAAGTGTGGTGCCGACCATGGCAGCCCTGCTCTCTCTGTAGGACTTGACTGACCATTTATGCAAATGGCTCTCTTCCATTTACATAATGCCCATTTAATATATTTCCTTCTAGATGTGAAGACCTTGAGACAAAGAGTTTATTTCCACAGTCACACAGCTGGGCAGAGACAAACTGGAGTTTTAACCCAGTGGAGTGATGCCACCCCTGTCACTGACCAGCACTTTAATAGTTGTGTAAATGACATGCATTGGTATTTTTTCCTCCAGTCGCTAAGACCTGCTACAGCAGGGTGTGCTGCAGCTTTATTCACGTGTGCATATCTGGTACATGGCACATGCTCTAGAGACCTTTGTGGAAGGGTGAAGTGTTGGAAGTCATAGAATTCAAGGACATGTGGGTGCACGAGGATGAAAGTAGCAGGCAGAGAGGTAGGCCACCTCCCCTCTTCAGCAGCAGACCCCAGGAGCCCCTGTGTGGGCAGCCTGTGCTGCCGTGGCAGGCAGGCTCCATCTCAGGTAAGGATGCTGGCCACCAGCGCAGGATGCCCCTTGTCTTATGTGTGATGTAGAAGAAGTCTTCTAAGCAGAGGTGCACATGTCATTGAGAAATTCTCCAAGGTCACTTTTTGCATTCAATTTTCTTTTACATTGTATTTTAGCAAGTTTCACAATAATGCTTTCTGTGAATGGAGTAATGGTTAGCACTTCTTGTACTGGGTTTGCTTGGCTTCAAAGCCAAGCTGAGCTTGTGCCAGGATGACCTTGTTGCACTGATAGGAAGTGCGTATCTAACAGGCAGATTAGAATGGGGAAATTGAGTCACAAAGCTAACTTCCAGGTTAAAATTTCTCCTTCACAGTCTTAATTTCTTTTGTCCCCATTTCATTAGGTTCTTTGCAAATTTTCCTTGAATTCTCCTACTTTTACTGAGGGCATCCGCATATCATTTTCATGAGGATCTAGAGTCCAAGTAAGATATGAACATCCACTCATTGTTATTGTTAAATATATCACTGTATGATTTCCAGGCTGTGACCTGTCACTCAGGAAAGATACCATCTCTCTTTATGTACTTCTCAAATATGGAGGCTACCAAAAATATGGACACATTTTAGGAAAATAAAAACTTGTATAATTATTTTGATACTAACTTTATTGAGACATCATGAGGTTAACACAAGTTACCTTTAACCTCTTTCATTATGAGAGGCTCAAAGTGGTGGCTATTTGCTTCTTGATGTTTATTAGTACAGAAAACTGCTGCTTGTGTATCTTGGCCATTGAGATGCCTGCATGTGAATTTTTTAATTTCTTCTTTAAGGGTTGGTAATGTTGTGAGCTTTCTTCAATATACACTATCCTTTAGGGTCTTCTGTATTAGGGTAATACCATCTGTTGAAAAAATACATACAAGTTTTCTTTTCCTGAATTGTATACATTTTTGATGAACTTTTTTTTGTTGGTTTCTCTGACACTGTGTATGGAGTTAGAAACTTAGGAGTAGGAAAAGCAACCAAACCCTTTTGGTGGATACCTTCACTTCTAGAGCCCTCCATGTCCAGCAGAGTCATATAGTGGACATGGGAGGTGCTCAGGTAATTGTGGATTAATAATTAAAATTAGAATGCTTATACTTATGTCCTCTTCCATCCGAGAGAAGTGACTATAGCTGACAACCATCAGCCATGTCTTAGTACTTTTGTCTTGTTGCTGAGGCAAAAATACTCAACACCTAATGTTAAAAGAATAAAGATTTATTTGAGGACATAGTTTTTAGAGGCTACAGTCCATGACTGGCTCGCTCCAAGGCAGGGTGGCACAGGGCAGAGAGACAACTGCTCATGACAGCAGAAGACAGCAAAAGCAACAAGAGAGGGAGGGAAGGGAAAAATCTTTCTGTCCTTGTAGTACACGTAGGCTACCTGCTTCACAACCTTAATCCCAGTGTTTGACCAGTCAATCACAAACTTCAGATTCAGCCACCTCTGAAAGCTCATCGCAATGACTGCATGAGACTTTGGGGGAACATCTAGACATAAACCATAATAAGGCACAATACTCACATGGCATAGAGACCACAATAGTTTTAGGAACCAAAAGAATGTTTTAATTTCTTTCAAAATCAGGAAGTAAAGAATAGAAATATGTTCTAGTCTAAGTCATGTTCATTTACACCAGTGTAGTTGTAAAAGTATAATTTGAAACAATTGCTTTAGAGATAAAAGATCCTAACGTCAAAGTAGCATGACCACAAAAAAAATCATAATTTGGCTCACAGAGTTATTCCTTTTATTCCTCTGTACTGTCTCCTGATCATAGATGGAAGAAAGTAAAGCCCAGATGCCTTGGCGATATATCAGCCTGGAGTTTGCCTTTGTATTGGCCCTGTGTTATGTTAAACTCACTGCAGTGCTGTGATGGTGCATGCGAATTATGTCTCATGAACCTCTGTGTGTGAGGGAAGGAGGTCCATGCAAGAAGCTTCTATACTCAACATTTTTGAATAAACAGCTGCATAGGGATGGTTAGAAGTTTCCAGAAACTGTCCTCCAGATACATTCATGCTGTCATATATCAGTACTTCATTGTTTATTGACCCATCTGTTGAATGTTTGTGGTGTTTTCATATCTAGACTTTTGAAAATACTGCTGTGATGAGCTGCAGGTGCAAACATCACTTTGAGACCCTGATTTCAATTATTTTGGGATAT